ATGGTTCACGAGCTGGACTATCGTCATCGCTGCCTCTCGTGGTCTATATCACACGCACAAACATTAGAAGTCTGATTTCGAGATATTGAGAGAACAAGTTAAACTGCATACGTGTTGGCCTTCTTGTGGTTGATATACTCGGCAACTTCAAGATTGAAAGCATAGTTAGGTTCCGGCTGAGAGGGATATGTCGCTCGAGTGATGAGAACCTTCAGAGGCGATGTGGACTCTGATAGCCAATCGCTACTATGTGCTGGAAACATTCGCCGCCGTGCCTCAGTTTTGTCGAATTCCAAGATTGGTATAATTTAGAGTCAGCGAGGTGGAAGGAAGAGGTCAAGATACGAGATCACTGCGCTTCATTTCTTTCACTTGACAGGCGCTCATTCAATTTACATATACTCCGAGTCAAGCATCCGAATGAGATACTTAAATTTCTACGTAAGGCTGAGAGTACGCCTATGCCAATAGAAGAAGAAAAAACACAAAGTAGTTTCTTATGGAACACACTATGGAATTGCCATGTAAACACTTGAATTTATTTGATCCGTAGAATTGAAAAAAAAAAAACCCCGGCCAACGAAGATTCAGATATGTTTAGCAACTTGACTGGCGAATCGACCTCAGACATAGAGGATATTGGTCTCTGTAGGTAAAATGCTAACGTACACGTATACGAGTACACTTGACCGTTATCCCAATGCTCATTCGTAGACGCCTGCGCCCGAACATGTGACGATGTGAATTGATTTATTCAATGATTTCTTTGACCATTGTTAATTCACAGGCTGACACTTGCATTTGTTTGCGACAACGACGACGCCCTACCTATAGCCAAGAGACCGGGGCAACCTTCCCTATTCGCTATGAACCGCAGCCAACGCGAAGTGCAGTTGATTGATAGCTTTGATTTTGTAAGCTCCTCTTGAAGAACTTGTCACTGTAAAAACCCGAAACAACTCAACTTGGATATAGACTTCGAGATACCGTCGCTTTCTCTTCGAGTCGCTTGAAAGTTTGGCACTCTAGCACAGATTTCTACCGTTGGTACCACAGCGAAGTTTGACTTTGCTGTGCTGTGACACACCTTTGCTGTGCTGTGACACACTTAGATTCTGGTGAACCATTCACTCAGTATACACCAAGCACCCACACCAGGTCCTGGAGTTTACCGAGAACTATGATGGGACCGGCCTACAAAGACGAGCAAGGAAATAGTGGTAATGCATCGTTTTGATTCTGTCTTATGCATCTCAATTATACAAGTTTCTCCCCCGACTACCCTCACCGCCGTTATGAACAACTCTAATATTAACGAGCAATGAGGCAAGTGATCGTACCGCTTCCCTTACTTTGTTTTGGAGCCAGGTTGATGTGGCTGGACAGCTGCCGGAATATAAATCGGGGACCACCGTTCAACGTTCACTAGTTTGCTGCCTTGGAATTCTGTAAAGGTGAATGTTCTTGACATTTATTTTTTGAAGTTTTTGGGTTGGAATCTGATTGAGTGAGACATCGTATACTAGGCAACAGACATAAACAGACACGGATCAATGCGACGTATAGAAAGTACAAATTGCCAAAGGAAATGCCTATTGTCCTCCTCGGCCACCGCAATGACCCAAATTAGGAATTAACCTCGAGGTGATGAAGATTTATCATACCTCGAGAACCCTGAGACCTACTGGAAGGCCTCGTTCACGGCGCTCTGTTGTGAAGGTGGAATTTAGAGGCAAATCACAATTTGGAATACAGACTGAGTGGAAAGTGAATTCGCTCTGTCTATTGTCCAACCTCCGTGTGGATTCGGATGTGACAGACAACGGTGCTCAATTATCTTGAGTGGCCACAATTATCACATCGCTAACGAGTTCTCTTGGCCTAAATTATAACTACTTTCAAGTCATAGTCCCTTTCAACCTCGTCCCCTCCTGCTCTAGCATCGTCTACCTTCTACAGCCTCTCAAAGACGATATGGTCAGTACCAGGTCTTCAATCCAGCGCACCGCTAACGCAACACCATCGCGAGCCGTATGTTTCTCCAATTTTTTTGCCTTTCATATATGCATTGACCGATCTACCGTCAGGCCCAAGCAGCTAAAACAACAACCTTGGGACTCACCATCGTGCTACCTGCTATGAAAGTATGTCGAGACTTTATAGACTAAGATTGACACTTCACTTAGCGTCACTCGTACAGGCTCGATCTGTGAATGCAAAAGACGATTTAAAGGAGGACAAGGAGGATAAAGCCACTGTAACCGTGAGTCAACTTATACTATTGCCTTTTTTCTATTTCTATATTCGCTAAAGAAGCTAACTCTTAACGGAAGGGTGGCAACTCAGATATTCCCAAGAGGCGGAAGAGGGTTTTGCGAATCGCTCGCAAGGATGGACCGTCGTCTTCCAAGAAAGCAGCCAGTACTCATCGTACTACACTGGACTCCCCTTTCGGTAATCGTACAGATGACGAGACAGACATTGAACTTCAAAAGGCAAATACGATCCCTGTTGTTGCCCCTCAGCCCCCAGTCCAGAGGTTGATGATTCCGCCAATACAGGATCCTGCCGTCGCCGCGATTCTAGAAGGTTTTACTCCATTGGAAGTCCAGACAGTCAACATACTTGTGGCCTTGCGTGCACGTCGTTATCCCCAAGGTCAACTAGTGGCTTGAGGGAGGTTTTCTTTGATCGTCTTCTCCTGGTATCTCCCTATTCATTTTCCCCTTTGCTTCTCACTCCTCTCATCATCGCCATCGCATACATGTTTTGTATTATTATTCCATATGTCTTTGAATGTTGGATGTGTATAGAATTCGGTCTGAATCAGTTTATCGTCAATGATAAATCTCATTCTGCTATCAAGAAGCACCGTCATCTCATGTCTCATTTCTACTGTTGAGTTCACATTGATTCTGTGGGTAGTTGTACTTCAAAATACAGTTTTACATGTTACCATGTCACGGTATTTTGTGACGAGACGGCAACCTCGTGACTCAAGTGAGTGTTTGTTTGGCGTTTTATTTGTGTCAAGTTGTAACTCGATCGTCGGTACTAAATTGTGATGTCTTCAAAATCCTCGACACGATTCCCATTTGCTCAATTTTACTGAAGCAACCGCTAAATAGTTTTTAACTTTGTCCTGGTACTCTAGGTTACCGTGGCAATGAATACAGTTCCTAGACCGCGCAGGCCAAATAATGCAGGTGTGGCAAATAAGGGGAATATCTGCCCCCCTTCTGTACCCCAAATTAGGATAGAGTCCCAGGCGACGTGGATTCGTTTCTAAGGTCTGTCGCTTGACTAATCAAAGGAGCATGCTAATCCACATTTGGATTACAGATGAGGACAAGGAAAAACTTGTTTGTCAATGGTCCTTCTCCCGTGTGGATTGGGATTGGCAAGCGGAAGTCGGAGCAATAGCTTTCTGAGTGGCCACAATCTCTCGTGTACTTGGCCGATTCATATAAGATGCCCTCATTCTTTTGCAGAAAGCCAACTTTTCCCCCGTCTACAGTATCTCATACTATCCGGTATAGTCATGGCTGTTACTCGTTCGGCAAAAATCAATTCATCCATCCAAGTAGGCTTCTATACGCTGTCATCTTTACATCTGCCATTGACTGATTGATTGTATTGTTGCCCTTAGAATTTCACAAAGAAACGCAGGAGCAACCAAGCTCGTGTATGCTCATCTTCCTAATTTTCCTCTATGCCTTCAAATGTGTTCAACTTACGCAGAGGTTTCAGAATACCTCCGTGGCTGTGATTAAGCCCTTTCGATGTCGAAGAGATGATTGTACGCAGGCCTTCCGGACTAAGGCCTGTCTTAAAAGACATGATGATCATGTACACAAGGGAAAGTGAGTTCAAGTTTCCGCATTTCGATTCATTTCACTATCTGTCTCTGTTGCGCTTCCGTCGAGAGGCTGACTTTAACTTGGCCACTGTTAGGAGGAATTTCCCTTGTGACCAAATGGGTTGCGACAAGTGGTTCAAACAATCCGCACATCTGGACGAACATAAACGTCAAGTACAGTATGTACATATTACTATCCTCTGCATCATATGTATCCTCTAATAACCCTTCTTTCAGCGAGTTCGGAGACGAGGTGAAGTGCGACATCCCTGGATGTCTTGAAACTTTCCGAACTCGCCATTCCAGGTCTCTTCACAAGAAAAATGATCACACTGTGGAAGAGAGAGGACAAAAAACATCAAAACAGCGAGGTGGTAGGAAACCACGAGTAGTAATGGTCCCTCAGAGTATACGCTACCAAGACGAAATTTCTGAGACGGACTCCTCGGAGGATGATGATTCCCCTACCCCATCCCTCGCTTACGACTCCACAGAAAGTGACTCTCAACTACTTTCCCCTCCTCCGACCACTCCCACTGAGGAACTTACGCTTGATTCAGCAATTGAGGTTACTCAATCCTCTGAAATTGACTCAGAGATGATGGAGGTAGCCCACATCATGATCGCCTTCAAAGAAGGACACTTCTGAATTTTTTTTTCATACCTTTACATCGTTTCGTCATCCTCGCCCGTTTATTTACTATCACCTTTCCTTTATTTTGTCACCTATACCCTAATCTCGTCGGTGTTGTAATTCTCATAGAACGTGTATTCTAGTTCATTGTCTTCTATTGTAGATATTTCAATGTGGTTTCTGTCAATCAACTCTTATAATCACTCCCATAATTCGGCTCTAGTCCAAGTCATATAAATGAAGATATCATTGAAAACGTAGAAGGACGATTGCAATGGAATTTAATCTATATATGATAGCACAACATGAAGTTCTTCAGTGGTATAAACTGCGAGTGGGTTCATATACAAAGCCTTGAGGAAGAGGAAGAACTTCTGTCCGTCTTCATCGTTTCATAAGTTCATATGTAAGAAAATGCAACACTACTCCCTTCTCGATACCCGTTACATAGCTATTTGTAACAAATCCACACTCTGGTACTTGCACAAAAAATGATCACTTGAAACTTGCATTAAGAGGGAATCGAACCCCCGGCGGGTCGAAACACCGCTATACTTAATGGCAACGACCCAGGTTACCACTACCCCATTAATGCATAGGCATTAAAGTGAGGCTTGGGTCTCTTGGGATGTGAATATGAACGTTCAACCAGAGAATGAGAATACACGGCTAACACCCTTAGCCAGAGGGATACCGATCTCCTTGATCACTTTCCCCGAATAAATAACTTCCACGACGTGGTTTCTTCCAAACTGTCCCACATCGGCATCCACAGTAATAGTGACTGTATCGAGTTTTTGATTTTTCCAGTTCATATCTAATGTTATCCCTCCTCGGATTCGAGCACCTTTGATCGAACCGGTTGGCCACGTCGAAGGAAGCGCAGGGAGGAGAGTTATCGTTTGTGTTGTTGTGGAGGAATGCGTAGCAGGTGCTTGAATGAGTGCGTTCTACGGTGGGGAACGCAAAAGATTAGAGGATAGAAACCAACGGGGGACGAAAGTGCGTACAAGCATTGCTGCGGGGAACCCAAAGTTAGCATCAATTTGGAATATCTGGGTGGGATCCGTTGGGTCGTATGGACTGTATAAACTGAATAAATTTGGACCGAAGTTACGTTGGATAGTGTACTATCAAAGATGCTCATTAGAGGAATCTCTTGTAAGGTTCACATAAACGAATCATACCGTCAGCTCATGATAAAACATCTGTTCATCACCTAATTGAGCCCAGCAAGCCGCGCGCCAGGCCTTTTCCCATCCTGCATCTCCATCCGAAGCAGAACCATTTCCTCGGTGACTGAGACTTGTTCGAGCTGCGCTCAGTACTTGTTCTTTAGTGTATGTAGAAGATGCATTGGGGGCCGTTTGAATTACAGGATCGTACGAGGAAATCGCGTATCCTGGATAAAGTCCTATGAGATGTGAAAGATGGCGATGAGTATCACTTGGTGAATCCATGTCGACTTTCCATTCTGAAAATACCAGTTTGAGTCAGCAAATATAACTGAATAAACGAATAGGTTTAGAGGGTGGCCCACCTTGCAATTGACCCCAAGAACCGATATGAATGCCTTTGTCCATCTGAGCCTTCTTCTGTTTAACCTCTACGTCAAATCAAAGACGATTAGATGTGGTACGCCAACATTTATAACTCTATGAACCTTGTAAGAATTCGACATCCTGATCACCAGAAAAATTGAATCCTTTTTCCACAGCATTGAATAATTGCCACATGAGTTGTTGGGCATGGGCGCAGCCTGTCGTATAAATATCAGACAAAGCTCCCGCATAGAGTTAGTACGTACACATACCTAATGTGATTGGAGCTTGCTCTGGTGAATTGCATGGATTTACGACAAGGGTTGAGTCATTGAAACGGAGATCTGGGACGAGCTTATCAAGATGAAATGATGCTACTCCCTTCAGTAATGTAAATAAGTTGCAATTTTCGAAGGATTTCGGTTCACTGTAACTTACCTTGATCAACGGCCACCCTTGCGTTTTCCACCATTGGACATCGTTGGTATAATCGAAATGGTCCCACGCATGCATCATCTACAGAATTAAGAATGAGACGTAGAGGATCATGCTATGGAAAACATAGCATACCATCCAAACAGCTGACTCTATGAGTCAAAAAAGGATGTGTAATTAAATTCATGGATGAAGTTAAGTCTCACAAGAAGAGGCTAACCTGGATAATCCGCCCACTGAGCAGAGTTATCAAGAAGTTTCATTCCGGTATGACCGAATATCTAGAGACGAGATTGAGCTCGAAATCTGGTTTCCTACAATGGAAGGCATCTTGACGTACGTTCATCTGACATGCGGCGAATATAAGAATTAACTCATCAGAAATTTGCAACTCAAATGCTGTAGTATTCACCTCGTTATGAGTAACCCATCCTCGACTGATGTTGTATAAGACCTGAGCAGTGTAGGCTCCTCTCGGCGCCCATGTTTTCTACACGTTTCGTCGCGTCAATAAAGGAAACTGACGAAGATAAATGCATTCAGTACCTCCATATAATCAAATAAAGATTTTGTAACGTCCATGTTCGTCATTTCCGCGAACCAATAATTCATTTGAAGGTTGATGTTGGCATCTGTGGAGAACAAAAACCAACATCTGAGAGTTTTGTTATCATTTAAAATAAACAACTATAGCTTACGGTAGTCTGCAAATTAAATAGAATCAGGGAACCTGAACAGCTAGTAGGTCAGCAAAATCACGGACTTACCTCCACTCCAAGGATTACTCCCATCTTTAGCCCACTTCCCTTGTAAATTAGCAGGTAACTTCCCAGGAGCACTTCCCGTAAGAAGATATCTACCAAAGTTGAAAGTCAACCATTCCAAGTAAGAGTCGCCTTTATCAACTTCATATGCATCTCTTATTTCATCTGTTGCTTTTGATAGATCGGGATTTTGGTTCAGCGACAACGAAAATGAACCTAAGAGAGATTGGTAGGCTTTTGTATGTTGATTTAGGAGTGAAGTGAATGTAGCTGTACTGATAGGTGAAGGGATATTATTGATTAGCGCAAGCAAACGGGAGTGTGGATCTGAGCCTTTGAATGTGAACCCGTGGTTGGGGTCCCCCGCATTGATATCGTATTCTGTGTCGCCAACCCAGGTTATCCAACTCTCCTTTGCACCTGAAACGGTGATTGTTGCATTACTCGAGCCCTGAGGTGTACATTGGACCGATGAAGTGGAGGGAAGGGTAGAAACACGACCTATTATTTCATAAGCCATTCCAGGGTTGGCAACCGTATTTCGGAGGATGATGGTCGAGCGATCAAGACATTGGACGGATGCTTGAGGCAGACCTGAGACTAGGTCTGTGCTGAAAGAATATGTGATATTTGGAAGCACGTTCGATGTGCTCGTCAAGTGTTGTAAACAGGCTTGAAGTGGATTTGAGCAGAAAGTGGTGCTGTATTCAACAATAATATCCCAAGGGATTGAATGGTATCACTCAGCATGAAAGTAATAAATGGACGAACCGGTCGAATTTAATCTGGTTCCGCTTCCAAGATGTTCGAAAAATTGCTTTGTCCATATCAAGCCATCTCGCATAGTCTGTGATATTACTGCCATCTTTATCCGTTTGAAGAGTGGCTATCAAATATCCAGCTGCTGAATATGATCCTATAGTGAATATAGTGTGAGTGAACTGAGTTCTTTGACGCCTTAGGTAGCGAGAAGAAATACAGAAAAAAACATACCATAAGCACCAGCATCGGTGGAAAGCTCTTCTATGTCTGGTATACGAAATAACGTTTGAGACTCTAAGCATTTTTACGAATTCATAGGGAAACAGGCAACACACTATCGATGGTTCCATTAGGGCTTTGAAATATGTCTTGACGAATCCGTTGCATATCTTGAGCCATAGTACTCTGTTCACTAGGCTGCTTGTTTCCTCCGTTGTAAGACTGTTCAACATGTTGGTAAACTTCGACGGAACAATATTGCGAATGAAATGAAGCATACGGGATCTTGAAAAGGACCTCCGGACCACAATGACTCAATGTTCAGTAGTGTTGTTTCTTCTGTAGTCCCTCCGGGAGCCATTGCTTCACGAATATACATGCTTTCAGTAGGAATCTAATATCGGTCATGCTGAATTGGATGCACCCACCTCCCAGATAACCATTTCCTACAGGAAGCCATTCTTGTGACCAGGAACTTCCAGGGTTTTTGTACCATAGACCGTTTCCAGACAAGGGAAAGCCTTGTGGTGCACCATTTGTAGTTGGGAGCGTGAATGAACCTAAGAGTAGAAAGAGACCGATAAGCATGATGCAAGCAGTCAACCTTTGAAAGGAGAGGGCAAAATATCCGTGCAGATTTATGGGATCGCGTAGAGGTGTACCTCGGTCCTATGACCAAGAACAGTACAAAGCAACGCCTCACTTTGTTTGGTAGACCCCTCAAATGGGGGTTGGATGATGTAGCCGTCATGTATACGGCCCGCCACAAAGGTTGATATACACGTGAAGAGGGATGCGTGTACAATCATATTGAAGAGATGGCACAATGTAGGTTATGCGTTCCCGACTGTCTCAGTTGCCGGCAGTTCGCAGGTGAAGCCGGAGAAAAGAATTCTCCAAAGCGAGCGAGACGTAGAGAATATCCTATAAGATAAGGTAAGATATTCCAAAATGAAGCAAGGGTATTGTTCACGAGAGTTTTTCAGAAGCATTCTCGCATGCGTTCACGATACAGGTGATACAACCAGTGGACCCTTGGCGTCCGAAACTTATCCGGCTGGTTTCCAATTACATGAGTCGTCAGATGAAAGCTTAGAAACAACATCGACTGCTTACCATGCGTAACTACCTCAGCTGTGCAGAGGCTGCCTTGTGGAACAATGGGAGAAGTGGCGGAACCTCGTGAGTCGCAGTCACCTCATCCATGAGTGACTCGGAGATATAGCTTGTGACTGCACGTCACGCACGCGTAAAGCCATGACGTTGAGGAAGAACAATGCACCTTCGTTGAGTAATGTTGGGAAATTTTAGAACTCGAGTTCTCGTAGTCATACATCAAGAATTCGCCTCCTGGGCACCCTTTGCTATTATTACATATACTACGATCCCTATAAAGATAACAATAAACGTCGTACAAAAAAGACATAGTTATGTGTAGAAAGGCGAACCAGTGCCCGAAAGAAACCCTATCTTGAAAGACCAACTCAGCCAGCAGAAGAAGGAAAAAGGAAAACTCGACCACCAGAAATTTTGCTTTCAAAGAGTTTGACGTAATACCCTATCCAGGGAACTTTTCCCAATTGTTGAACCTCTGTTCTTCAAGTCTCTGGCCTTGAATGGGAGATGGTGTTTCTCCAAAGCCATCCGTTGCACCGAAATAATCCGTCATGGTAGCTCTGATATTAGAATTGAATGCGGGATGATTCATGAGGTTTGATTGAGAGTGAGGTGAGTATCGCGAGAGTGGTGTCACCCAGATTTGTCGATTGCCTTTACGGTATTGAATGATAGAGAATGTGAGAGTAAAAGTGGCAGTGATGAAGACTGAGATGGAACATAATCATTGTGAGAGAGCGTCATTAAGATGCTGACGA